AAACCTATTATGTTGTTCCATGAAAATTTCCACATAATACATAAGACGATTTCCACATAATAGATTTAAAAGGATTTTGCAATAAGGAGGCAATTTTTGCGAAAATTTTTGTTATACAGGGTGATTCAGAATATAGTGTACATAAGTTCATAAATTATCCATTACACAACCACAAAAACAAATGTTTTTCGGGGCTGAGTATCAGACCGTGTTTTCTATATGTTTTTGGGGTCGATGGAATTCGAATTCGGGGTCCATTTTAACACTAACACGTCAGTGTTTCGTCATAACCTCGAAAACCCCGATAATTGAGGCTTTTCAGCATTTTTTAACGCATTCCATTTAAAATAACGGTAAAAGGTCGAGAAACGCCGCACTTGACGAGACCACTTTTCCCCTACGTATTTTGGGGCGCTGATTACGAAAATAAGGAACAAGACTGGCAGCACTGGTTGAAACACCCCTAAAATTGCAAAAAACACCCATAAATAGGGGTGTTTTTCGACTATACTTGTTGTTTTGCAAACTAACTCATCTCATATGTTTTTTGGGTCGCTGATTTCGAAAATCGGGGTGTCGAGACTGGCAAATTTGTGTGACACCCCCCACATACCAGAAACACCCCTCCCAATCAGTGGATTTTAGGGGTGGTTCAACCATTGTTACAAGTTATAGCCCCGATTTTCGTAATCAGCACTCCAAAAAACATATGAGATGAGTTAGTTTGCAAAACAACAAGTACAGTCGAAAAACACCCCTATGTAGGGGTGTTTTTTGCAATTTTAGGGGTGGTTCAACCATTGCTGCAAGTTTTAACCCCATTTTTGGTAATCAGCGCCCCAAAAAACATATAAGATGGCTTAGTTGCAAAACAACACGTACAGTCGAAAAACACCCCTATTTAGTGTTGTTTTTTGCAATTTTAAGGGTGTTCCACCCATTGCTGCCAATTTTAAACCTCATTTTCGTAGTCAGCGCCCCAAAATACGTAGGGGACAAGTGGTCTCGTCAAATGCGGCGTTTCTCGACTTTTTACCGTTATTTTAAATGGACTAATAAGCTTGTGACTCAAACTAAGCTGGATTTATAAACTTCGTGCAGTTCGCGTTCAATTCACGCTCAGTTCGAGTTCGACATAAACAAAGCAGAACGTGCACTGTCATTTATAAAATTCATTCGTTGCCGTTCGCGCTTAGTTCGAGTTCAGTTGACTCCATAAACTCATAACCGCATAATGCAATAGCCACATAATCTTAAAAAAGACTCTAATTTACAGCCACACAAAAAAAAAATGTGGCTGTGAATTATGACGTTTTCTAAAAGTTATGGGGTTCTTACATTATGGGTTAAACCCGTTAATGGTTTAAGGCATTTCTTTATAAGCTTACTACAACATACTTGGTTACAGTATTGTGGTTACTGTGGTGACATTACGCATACCATGGTTTCCCTATTATTGAATGTCATATGTCAAATTTAATTTAAGTTTGGGGATTTCTAAACGAAATTTGTATTTTAGAAATTTTAGGATGTTTTGACTTTGTTATTTTTTATTATAGTATGTTCTAGTAAGCTTATAAATAAAGGCATTTCTTTATAAGCTTAACACGACATACTTCGTAACAGCGTTGTGGTTACTCTGATGACGTCAGACATACCGTGGTAACTCGTAGCACTTGTCGTTGTCACATGTCAAATTGGGGATTTGTTTACTTTGTTTTTGTTCAGATAAATAAAAGTGTTTTTGTCACAGACGTCATTTGGTTTTCGTTCTTTTGTTATTTATTTAAATATGTCTCCTCCAACAAAAGGAAGAAAAAAATTAATAAGTGTTATTTGTGATGAAATAACAATGATAAATACTTGTGCCAGTAGTCCCATATTTTCATCTTTATATTTCAATATAAATAACAGTATCCAATGGCCATCAACATCGCTCTCGTGAAGAGTTATTTCAGTGCCTTGTATTTCAAATATAATTTCTTTCATAGTAAATAGAGTTTTCTTTGGTAAATACAAAAATGCCCAACCCAAATATACAAAATGAACCATATAACCCGTAACCACAGAAAAATGTATCTAATTTAATATCTTTACAATACTTTGCGCATGCTCGATATGTTTAAATGCGGACCTTACTGACCTTACCACACACCTTACCCCTAAAAACATCATGGTTAGTAGTAGTTACATATTTTGGTAACGTATGACGTCATGGAAGTAACCAAACCGTTTAAAGAATTGCTTTGGTTACATACGTATGTTCTAGTAAGTTATGGTAAGCTTATAAAGAAATGCCTTAAATGCCTTGTTAGATGTAGCTACATATGCTTTGGTAACATGTAACCAAAGCAGAGTAACCAAACGTTATAAAGAAATGCTCTGGTTACAGAAGTATGTTCTGGTAAGCTTATAAAGAAATGCCTTTAATTATTGTATTCATCACCGACTTACTCGTGGCATAACACATCGACCAAATCCTTTGTTTTTCAATAGAAATGGAGTCACGTTACTAACCATTTCACCTTTCCTTACCAGTGACAACCAGGCAGATCATGCTTGATTTTTTTTAAAATAGGCACTCACTAAATAAAAATTAAAATAGAATAATAGAAATAGTACCAATTTTACTTTTGCTAAACTTTATTTAAAATAGCACACAGTCACTCACTTCCCATTGGGTGGGTAAGTAGGTAAAACTAAAAAACAAAAACATAAACTTTATTCAAGTAAAAAAAATTCAAAATAAATTATAATTAATTGGAACATAAAATAAGAAATAATAACAAATACCTAATAAAAAAACTGCCTATTTTTTTATTATTGAGTTTTGATGCAAAAAAAATCAACTTATCAACGTTTTCCGGCAGCAAGCAGTTTCTTTTCGCCGAAACTATGTTTCCTGCACTGGAAAACACCCGTTCACTGGAAGCAGATGTGGCTGGTACACATAATTACGGTTATAAACCGGTTCTGATTTAACCGGTTATGGTTAAACCGGTTGTGGTTAAACCGGTTATGATTAAACCGGTTACGGTTAAATCGGTTACGTTCTTTAACGGTTTTTTGGTCCTACGGAATCGGTTAACCGGTTACGGTTACCAGCCTTAATTTATAGGGCTATGGGTTTGGAGTTAGTAGCTTGGCTTTTGTGCTTAAAGTTTGAGTTACAGGCTTATATGCATTAAAATGTGCTGAAAATCCTCAATTATTGTGTTTTTTGAGGTTATGGCAAAACCTTGACGTGATAGAGTAAAATGAACCCCGGATTTGAATTCAGCGACCCTAAAAGCATGTAGAAAATATGTTCTTATCCCCAGACCAGAATTTTTTTTGTGTGGCTGTAAATTATAGCGTTTTTTAAGGTTATGTGGCTATTGCATTATGGGGTTATGAGTTTATGGGGTCATAAGGTTAAGAATTTGGAGTTAGCAGCTTAGCTTTTGTGTTTAAAGTTTGAATCCAAGGCTTATATGCGAAAAAAAGTGCTGAAAAGCCTCAATTATTGTGTTTTTTGAGGTTATGGCAAAACCTTGACGTGATAGAGTAAAATGAACCCCGGATTTGAATTCAGCGACCCCAAAAACATGTAGAAAACACGGTATTTTTTGTGTGACTGTGTATTAATGGGCCTATATTATATCTCATTACCTAGATACAGGGTGTTTAATGAATTTCGCCTAAATTTGTTCTTGGCCACAACTAAATTTGGTTATACAGGGTGTTGTTTTTGAAGTAGGAAGAAATGGTCAAATTTTGGTTATACCGGATCTGGATTTTAATTATTATTTTTAAGGCATTTTTTTTTATATTGTGATGAGTTTACCAAATTTTAATTTTCCATATAGAGCGGTTGTTGAGTTTTGACTAAAAATAAATTCAGACGAAATTCATAAAACAGGCTGTATCTAGGTAATGAGATATAATAGACCCGATAGATCTATCAATAACACGGATGATTTCGAATCATCCAAGTATCCCACACCTACAGTTAATGTATGTATATTACATTCTGAAATACCCTGTATACTTTACTGTATTTCTCAAATAAAAGGAATTTATTCATATTTCTAGAAAAAAAAATGCGTGTGTACATTACATTCTGAAATACCCTGCATACTGTATTTCTCAAATAAAAAGAAATTTATTCATAATTCTCGAAAAAAAAAATGCGTGTTCTATCAGATATTTTTTATTATTGACGTCAATGGCGGTCAAAACCCTTCGCCATCAGGCACATGTCTTATGTAATATTTGGTGATAGCTTAAATAACAGGCAGTTAGGTAGGTAATTAATTATCTATTGATTTTTAATTTTTTGGATGATAAATAGTGAAAAAATGTTAACTCAAAAGTTTTCAAGGATATTTCGCACTTTTAATGGGTTTTTCATACCGACAGAATTTCAAGAAATTTTAATAAACTCGTGTCACTGTACAGGTGATACCGATAATTCAGTGCAAAGTCATATGGACTGTTGAATTAAATTATCAAAAAAATATTACATTTTAAGCTGAATCAGCTTGATTCTTTGAAGACAAAACATGTTTTCAAGGTGCAATTTTTGCATTGTACCAACCTTAAAACTATACAAGGTGATGAAGAAAATTCATTTCAAAATCATACGAATAAATGAATGAATTTATTAAAAAAAATACACGATTTTTTCGTTTAAAAAGTTATGTAACTAGGGGTTACTTATTATGTGTCGGCTACATAGCGCCCTCTATGCCACGTATCAAAAATGACAGCTTATTCGATTTTTTTATCTCAAAAACCAGTCGGTTTAACCTGTCAGATTAAAACAAGAAAACCGACAATTCCGAAGCAGAAGCGGATTATTAAAACGTACCTGATATTTTGCTTGCTGCTGTCAGTGTCAGTGAATATTATTTTTGAGTCACAGTTTATTGCTAAAGAATCAGTTAGCTCACTTTTTATATTTATTAGCTATAATGTTTCATTAGGTTATTTAGTAGTTTTTTTTTTATTTTGTATAGGACTTTATTCGCATGTGATAGGCGCTCCAGTAAACGTCGTCTCAGGAGGCATAGCCAATCCATTTTTCAGTAACGCTTTGGACCTCTTCAGAGGAGCGGATTTCCGAAGACGATGCCCTGTTTGCGACCCATCAGTCTACAGCTATTGCACGGATAAATTGTTTCATGATTCATGTTGTTGCCATAATCCCAATAATCCGTATGGTAAGTTTATAAATAAAACTTCGATTATGTATTAGGAAAATAGAGAAATAGAAAAGCATTAGTTGAAGAGCACACCGCAAAAAAGAAAATTAGCAAATAAAAAAAAAATACTAATAAATGCATTGAACGGTATAAGTACAAAGAGAAATAAAAAAAAATACAAAAAAAGTGATAAACAAAAGGGTTGAATGCTATTTTTTTTTTGTTACTCTTTGATAAACAATCTTATTTTTAGGATTTTAATTACTTATTTACTATACTCTGTTTTTAAACTAGGAGGAGCGAATTGAAAAGACGCATTTACACAGGGAAAAGTAACTAAATTCGTTACTAAGAACATGTTCCGAAATATAGACGTGTTCAAAATTTATGTAATAGTTGTTATTATCGGCCCTAGTCGGCGAACGGCCAATGAGGGGTTAAGGAGCAAATAAATGTCATAGGAGTCGATGTTTTCATTGGTTCCAGACAACGGACGTAAATTTCACATTATTGTGATCTGAAAAGTGTGCCTAAAACGAACTGTCACTCCCAAAGGGGCGTTTGATTTGAAACTCGATCGAGCGAGCGTCGAGGAGACCGAGAAGTGATGACGTCACTAGAGAGCATTGAGTCAAATCAAATAAAACAGTAAAAAACATAACCTCGCTTTTTTATGATTCTTTTTTCTGGTTTGTGTGTCAAAATAGTGAGCAAAAAGTAAAGAAAATAGAAAAACTTTTAATAGTAAGGGGTATTGGTCCTGAAATGCAGCATATACCACAAATGCCCGCTTCGCTTTTATACTCCAGGACTGTGATTACTGGTGATTAGATTTGGACAGAAAAAATGTATTTTCCAAACACACATTCTGTTTTTTTTTATGACGAATAATTTTAGATATAAGACAAACTCAGCTAAGTATTTTATTGACTTCTTGTCGGGTCTTTAATTTTGACGTTCAATATTGTTTGTAGGTTAATTAAAAAGAGATAGGTAGAGACAAAGACAAATTTCTCCCTCTTCTCGATCCTTCTGCTCTGAGAACATCGAGCTCGCTCTTTGTTCTCGCTCCAAAGCAAAACAAACACTTTAGGGATCTCTCGGAGTGTCAATTCAAACACGTTTGTAGCGCTCGGAGATCTCCGATGATCAAATCAAACGCACCACAAATGAAATTAGGCATTCCAACGACCTGTCCAAATGGCTACCAGTGGGTAATGACAGTTTAGATATGGCAACCCTGTTGTCATGTTATCATTAACAGGGTCAATGATACATATATAGTTATATAGATTGCTCAAAGCTGGTCGTTTACGAGCGGCCATATTGCCTGGCAAATATTTATTAATTTGAATCGGTTTAGCAAAAATGTGTTTTAAAACCAATTTTTAGCCTTTAGATATTTAAAAAAAAAATAATTGCTTACATGTTTACTTCAAGGCATACGCTTATGTTTATTTTGAAAAATATGGATAATCAATCTATGTAACTATCTATTTCATTGACCTTGTCAAATCACCAGGTCTACAGGGTTGCCATAATTATGCCATATCATAACCTGTCAAAACTCACTGGTAGCCATTCAGTTTGGAATGCCCAATATGTTTTTAACAGACTTCAAAAAAGGAGGAGGTTATCAATTCGTCGCGATATTTTTTCTTGCTTTTGAAATCGACTTTTTGAGAATTATGATTTTTTTGAATGGACATTGAATATTTATGAAAATTGTTAAAAGAAGATCAAAATGTAGGTTAGTATAAAACATAAAAATATGATCGTTTTACAATTTCAATGATATATTCGTTATAAGTATAAACTTAAGTAAAAGGTAATCAGTGAATGGCAACCGGATCACACAGTGACTGGAATTTCTCCTATGAGTAATATGAATATTATAGCTTATTTAGTGCCATGATTTAGTGTTAATCCATGGTTAATACGCTAAAGGACAAATGAAGACATTCAAAAGTTTACAGGCCTGTTAGGATTTGTTTTGAAAACTGGAGTGAACATTTTCTTAACACTACATGTCAATATTATATCATTACTAAAACTAAACTTAAAATATTGTAGGTCCTTTTAACTCAAGTTGTAATTTTTACCTATATTTTTTAATTTAAAAGTGATTATTCATACATACCTTTGTATTAATGTTAGTAGATATTTTTAACATATTTCTTGTGGAAGTAATGTTAGCTCATTATGCTAAATTAAGATTATCTCTAATGTAGTAGATGGTGTTTTAAATGTGAATTAACAATTTTGTAAATGGTTTTATTTTCAAATAAATAAAATTTACTCAAATATTTAGTTATTTTTAATCATTTTGGTAAGAAATTTATCCATTTTTAGTTTTAAAAAATCAGTAATAAAGTTGTGTAATCTTCCGTCTTTTTGCCTTTAAAACCAATAATGTATTTTCTACAAAACCTTCAGAATCCGCATGTAAAATAATAAGTCATCTCTTTCTCAAAGGGTCTTTATGAATTGCTACCCTTAATAGTACTCGAAGAAGAATCCATAATCGTAGAAATTCAGTACAATTGCTTACTGAAGTTCTGAAAAGAATTATTATTTACGAAATAAAATAAAAAACTGATGAGATTTCAAAATATAAAATGTCAGAACTGTCAACAATATCAATTATTAGCTGATGTTAATGCTGAAAAGTGATGTGTGAAACTGACTGCAATCTGACCAATCAGAAGTCTACAGAATTGCCAACTTAAACTCAAATCGCTCCTCCTATACTCTGTTTTTAAACTAAAAGGAGCGATTTGAATTTAAGTTGGCAATTCTGTAGCCTTCTGATTGGTCAGATTACAGTCAGTTTCACACATTACTTTTTAGCATGAACATCAGCTAATAATTGATAGTTGACAGTTCTGACATTTTATAATTTGATATCTCATCAATTACAGTTTTTTACTTTATTTCATGAATAATAGTTCTTCAGTAAGCAATTGTATTGAAAATCTACAATTATGGATCCTTCTACACTGAGTACTATTAAAGGTAGCAATTCCTGAAAAGCCTTACAAGAAAGGGAAGACACCTTATTATTTTACATGCTGATTCTGAAGGTTTTGTAGAAAATGCATTATTGGTTTTTGAAGTTAAAAAGATGGGAGATTACCATTAAGAGATGAATTCCGAAGTATTTTAGAAAAAAATAATTTTATTACTGATTTTTTAAAACTAAAAATTGATGAATTTCTAACCAAAATGATTAAAATGTAACTAAATATTCAAGCAAATTTTATTTATTAGAATAGAATAAAACTATTTACAAAATTGTTATAACATTTAAAACACCATCTACTACTTTAGGGATAATCTTAATTTGGCACAATAAGTTAACATTACTTTCACAAAAAATATTTTAAAAATACTTAAAATTAATACATAGGTATGTATGAATAGTTCACTTTAAAAAATATATGTTGACATGTAGTGTTATGAAAATGTTGGTTCCAGTTTTCAAAACAAATTCTGACTCATAGGCCTGTAAACTTTTGAAGGCCTTTATTTGCCCTCTAGCGCATTAACCATGGGTTAACACTAAATAAGCCATAATATCCACATTACTCGTAGAAGAGATACCAGTTACTGTGTGATCCACTTGTCATTCACTGATTAACTTTTACTTTTTATACCTATAACAAATATATCCTTAAAAATGTAAACAGATCTTTATATTTTATACTAACCTGGCTACATCTGGATATTCCATTAACAATTTTCTTAAATATTTAATATTCATTTTAAAAAGATCATAGTTATTCTCAAAAAGTCGATTTCAAAAGCAAGAAAAAATTATTTCTGACATCAATCAACAACCATATTGACTTTAATTTGACAGTGACATTTCGTTTTAGACACACATTTCAGATCACAATAATGTGAAATTTGCGACCGTTGTCTGGGACCAATTAAAAAATTACTTCTATGACATTTATTCGTTTCTTAACCTCTCATTGGCCGTTCACCGACTAAGGCCGATAAAGATAATTATTTCATAAATTTTGAACACGACTATTTCGAAACTCGCTCTTAGTAACAAATCTAGTTACTTTTCCCTGTGTAAATGCGTCTTCTCAATTCGCTCCTCCTAGTTTAAACACAGAGTATAGTTAAAAAACAGAGTTTAGTATTTTCTACACTGTAAAATTAAATATGACAATATCATAAAAAATGCACGCAAAACTGAGAAACATGTTTTTTCTTTCAGATCAATTACCTTACCAATGTAGCTATGCAGACTGCAGCTTCCTCCACGCCAACACATGCGCAGAACACAAACTGATCACCGCCTGTTGCTGCATCAATCAATAGTACGAATCCAAATAAAACCCAACGATTTTAGAAAATATTTATTTATTTATTTGTTTATACAATAAATTATCTTTATTGCTATATTAATTGTTCAAAACAATCTTTTTATTTTTATTCGATCTTACAGAATGTTTCAGTTTGATATGCTATCATCTTCGATCTATCAAAAGGTCGACAATTGACAGATGATGCAAACGTCAAATTCTGACGTAATACGAAAATATGTCAAATAATAAGTTGACAGATCATGGATAAAATGTGTGAAATGTTGCAAATTTCAAATGATAAGCTCAAATTATTTCGATATTTATTAATTTAGAAAGCAAGGACAATTTTTGTTGCTTAAATTAAAAAATGAAGAATAAATTCATGAATTTCAATTGGTAAAAGAAAATAAAAAGAAATTAAATACATACCTGCCCTCTTGTGGTCTATTTGTAATGAATTTGACAGATCGTAGGTTTAAATATTTTCACCTCTTGCTGTTCAGGAATGTCTATTTCAGAGTAGAGACTACATTTTTTTTTTCTTCTAAAATTCCCTCTGAGTTCGGAAAAGTTCGAATAAAGAATTCCGTTTGAATATAAAATTCAACGTTTGAATAATAAATTCCTTATTTGAACAAAAAAATTTCAATATCCGTGTTTCAACTCAAAATTCCATGTTTAAATGGGAAATTCCGT